GTATGAAATCAGAGTACATGGGATACATACAGTGTACATCAAAGTTGTCATGGTGCACCAAAAGGGGCTATATTTGCATTTACTTTTTTTAAAAGATTGTATTTTTTTCACCAAAAATTGTAATGTTGTAGTTGATGTTAACAAGTTTTGTTTTTACGTTTCTGATGAAAACAACAACATGTGTTTACTGTGTATGTTATTTGTGTTTCAGTTAAGCAATTATTACCCTTTAGATGAGAAAAAGAGTTGAGCAAATAGATGTTATGGAAAAAATGTTGAGCAATGATTATCCAACAGACGAATTAAAGAGTTGGGCAAATGGATATTGTGGAGAAATAGTTGAGCAATTATTACCCAATAGATGGTTGTTTTGATAGTTGGGCAAATGGATATTGTGGAGAAATAGTTGAGCAATTATTACCCAATAGATGGGTGTTTTGATAGTTGGGCAAATGGATATTGTGGAGAAATAGTTGAGCAATTATTACCCAATAGATGGGTGTTTTGAGAGTTGGGCAAATGGATATTGCGGAGAAATTGTTGAGCAATTATTATCCAATAGATGGTTGTTTTGAGAGTTGGGCAAATGGATATTGCGGAGAAATTGTTGAGCAATTATTACCCAATAGATGGGTGTTTTGAGAGTTGGGCAACTGGATATTGCGAAGAAATTGTTGAGCAATTATTACCCAATAGATGGGTGTTTTGAGAGTTGGGCAAATGGATATTGTGGAGAAATAGTTGAGCAATTATTACCCAATAGATGGGTGTTTTGATAGTTGGGCAAATGGATATTGTGGAGAAATAGTTGAGCAATTATTACCCAATAGATGGGTGTTTTGATAGTTGGGCAAATGGATATTGTGGAGAAATTGTTGAGCAATTATTACTCAATAGATGGGTGTTTTGAGAGTTGGGCAAATGGATGTTGCAGAGAAATTGTTGAGCAATTATTACCCAATAGATGGGTGTTTTGATAGTTGGGCAAACTGGGAGTTGGGTAAAAACTGGTTGGGCATTTAATTAACCAACATTAAACTTACTCAAAAGTTGGGCAAATAGAAGGTTGGGCAATATCTAACTGGGTAAAATTGGTTGGGCAAGAAATTACCCAACTGAAAATATAACCAACTGTTAGGCAATTGTAGAGTTGGGTAAAATATGATGGGTCACCAACTGATGGGCAATTTAATTTGCCCAACCACATAGCAAACTGATTACCCAACATCAGTTGGGCAGATTTTAACCAATAGTTGTGTGGACCGTATGTTGCTCAGTGTTGGTTAAAAGTTGGGCATTTTTTTGCCCAACTATTTTAAGTGTGTATGCGATGAACCAAGTTAGAGCTACTGCTATTCCGGCTACTTCTGACAGGCCATCAGTCAAGTTTGTAGTTTTTAGGTTCTCACATGGTTATGATTACAACATGTACGGTAAATTAACGTTTTGCAAAAATGTTAAGTTACTTCCAAAACAAATTGTGCCCCTTTGATGTGAAACTGGATAGATCACACGCTAAAATGGCGTCGGAGGGGTTACGACGAACTTCGAAAGTTTATTACGTTATTCACAATTGACGCAATATATTTTGAAAGGCCTTTCGAAAAGCCCGATCTCTAAAGCCGTAGATGATAGGATTAACAACCAAACTTATTGTATGCAATACCAGGAATGAATGGTTGTATACCATGAGATAAAAAGGTGATTGGTACGTTATAAGCTGTAATATGAGAAACAGGGGATACGGAAACCAGAAGATAATGAAGACTGCCACGACAAGGGAGATAGTCTTAAATGCTTTCAATCGGTCATCTTGTACTGGGAGTTGCTGCTGTTGGAACTGGATGATCACTCTTTGACTCGCAATCTTTCTCGCTTGTTTCACTGCGATGTGAAGAATCAAAGCATTGATGGCAAGCAGCGCAACCATTAAAATTACGATCACACAAAATATCAACCAGGTGAAGGTAACGGTCGTCGTCCCAGTTAAAGGAGCCCCACAGTCCGTTTCATTCTGGTCTTGACTTGTATGTGATCCATGCGCTAAGCTAACAGATCGGGCGGTGTTCATCAAAATACTAAGAAGCCAAAGACATCCCAGGACGATGGCAATGCGTCTATACGTCACCAGGCTGGCATAACGTAACGGCTTCGTAACAGCTATGAATCGATCTGCAGTCAACACCACAATGTGAAAAAACGAAACACCAGATAGTGCACTGAAGGGTAGAGTATAGTAAAGAGTATTTTCTTCAGCTAAGCACAATGCATAGAATTTAAAGACGGATGCATACACATATAGTGGAATCCCAACAAGGGCGTCAAGGAGATTAGAGATAGCAAGGCTCACAATAATGGCATTTGTTGGTGTTCGGAGGCTGTACTGTCTGTAAACTGCTAACACTAACAGGGCGTTGCCGACGATGACGCAAGGTAGAAAAGGAGTAATACATACCATGACAACTATTTTGCCAGCAAATTGATGATGTGCAAAAAGAGCTGGTTCCGTACTTTCATTCATTTTGATGATACTATTTAAAATGCAACTAAAAAGACTAGTTGAGATACAAATCGTGAAACTGCGATGAATCTGAATCTCTCACGAAATAGGACTGGCCAAGCTATTTAAGACGAAAATATTTATCTGCACATGAACAAGATCGAAATCTGTTAATGGCAGTTTAAAGAACTGAATGTAAGTGCAAGGTTGTTTGTTTTCTGGTAAGTCCAATGATCGAGCCGATGGCAGAACCAAAATGGAACATCTCCGGACAGCGTATCGTGCAATTCCCGCCATACACCGCGTAATGTGAGTGACTGTATACTGACAAAATGTTCAATTAAGAGTCACCACGATTATTAGCTCGTGTCAGGTTGTCAGATATAATCTCTGCCTGGCTATCCAACGGTGGGCTGTTCCCTTAAATGGAATAAATTATGTACGTCGTATGAAAGAAAACCTACGCTTTTTATAACTCACGAACTTGCTCTCAGTATATTCATACATAGAAATCCAGTAAACAAAAACAAGTAATGAAACTAGAACGAGCAATGGCAAAAGTAATTAAAGAAGCGCAATATCTCAGTGGTAGGGCAGTGGTCTAGTAACCGATAAGTCCCGGGTTCAAGACTAAGTTAATAATAAACTACAGTGCCCTTTTTGTACGTGGTCAAGAGAAACTGGATGTATAACTAAAATTATTTCGTTCTACAAAATAATTGGCGGAGACTCAGTAACTACAAAGTATACTCCATATTAACATAAATATCTCCTTCTCACGCACACACACGCACACACACACAACCACGCGCACACACTCCACCTTATGAGGTAATGCCTCTATGGTTTCAGCGATCGACATGTAGTTGAAGCACTAAAAATCAACTTTTCACTATGAATCTATGTAATGTTTTTGATAAGTATTCTTTATTCTTTGATCGATTTCCCTTCTAATTTCACTCATAATAATATGCTTTTTGTGTGTGCGATATCGTACTCCCTCTAGTTAAATTAGTTGTACTAGAACCCACCCCCCCCCCCCCCAAAAAAAAAAAAATAAATAAAAATAAATAAAAAATAAAACTAAATAAATAAAAAAAAAAAAAAAAAAAAAAAAAAAAAAATGAAATAAATAAATAAATTAATTAATTAATTAATTAATTAATTAATAAAAATTCAAAAAATAATAATAATAATAATAATAGTAATAATAAATAAGTAAATAATAATAATAATTGTATACTACATTCCTTTAAAAAAAGGGGGCACGAGGCAATTGTGCCACCCCACCCCCTTCCTCGATTTCCAATTCCAAGTATTATCAACAACTTCATAATTAACAGGCTGTCGCTCAAAAATTACAATAATTTTCAGTAATTTTCAGCTCAGTAATTACAATAAGGCCTTTGGACCTATAATATCTACGTGAAATTCGATATTGCTGGCATCAAATTTTTTTTAAATGAGGAAAGTGGAAAAGACTGTGAGAAAGTGAGACTATAGGACGGATATGGAGTGACATCTAATGAAATTCTAGGATTGATTTCTAATAACTGGAATGGATTGACTGACACTGCTTTTGTTACGGTTTATACATATTAAAAAACCTTCTATCGCAAGGTCTCGATAAAAACATGTATGAAAGACACGAGAAAGTCAAAGTATTGTGTAGTCTTATATATTAATGCGCAATTTTGTTACTGTAAGGAACTACATGATCTAAACTTCGGCTTTTCAAAATAAAAATGATTGAACTGTGATATATGACGCAGGTATAATTACTTTTGAAATGCGCCCACTTAGCATGCTGGCAAGCGATCAAGGATCAACTTTCTGGTACAAATTTACAAAGGGAAGGAGAGGGAGCATGGATCATTTCGTGTTGTAGCACGAACGAATTGAATGCTGTCAATGCCCTCGCTCCATCATCAAACCATTTCCGACAGGTTCAGTATCATTAATTTTCGAATCAGACAAAATATGTGAAAGACGCGTGAAGGACAGATCCTACTTTATTCAGGAGATGTTGTGTTTTCGCATTTCATCATATTGACTACGGTTACCTTGTCAGGACTGATCCAGGATTTCCAAAAGAAGGGGAAGAGTTCTGAAAATGTTGACTTAATTTATTTTTGTTTGTCTGGAATATGATTTCAGGAACTGCTTCAGCTCTTTAAGTCGAAGGGTAGGGTATATTGAGCAAAAGAAAGATATATATCAGAGGTATCTATATATTTTAAGAGTTTTAGCAACCCGCACTCCAGAATGGGACACGCCCCTTACGCATCCGTGTCTGTATTTTCTCGCGGACATGTACGTCATCAGATGATAGCTTGAATGGTCACACGGATGTAAGATTGATACTTATCCAGTGAACCAGATACACAGACCCAGCATAGCGCAAGATTTATTTATTTTTGCGTACCAAACAGACTGCCCATGTCGGTGCCTACAGGAACTATCTGTTAAGACACTGGTGTGTGTCGAGTCTGGCGTTTGATTCGCGACGGACAGCGGAAAAGTTTTATGGGCATTCGACCGGCTTACATCCTAAAGCGAGGCGCTAAATAACAAATATAATACATCGTATCCTCATTCGAGAAGGATAGAAGGAGCTAAAGTAGATTGTTTTACCGAGAAAGAATGAGGTAAGAATGATGAATTCCACCTATTCCGAAAACCTGCACGACAGTGGGTTTTTCTTTGCGCTGATGTTGACAATTATGGCTGTGCTGGCGCCGTTCATCATTATTGGGAATTTGTTCGTCGTCTTGGCCGTTTACAAAAACTACAATCTACGAACGCCGACGAACTTTATCCTAACAAGTCTAGCGGTCAATGATATGATGTCAAGTGTGGCTCTTGCTCTTGCCTGCTACCCAGCCGTATTTTCGCAAAAGACCTGGTACCCTAACATGGCGGACTTGCTATGGTTACCAATTTTCACTTTGTGTTCGAGTACACTGCTCCACATTGTTGCCCTTACCGTAGACCGGTATATTGCAGTAACAAAACCGCTTAGATATCCTACATTGGTTACTCCGAAACGCGTTGGTTACGAGATAGCATCCATTTGGATACTTAGCCTGATCTTTCTCGTCTTACGCGGTTACATTGACCTAAACGAAGTTCAAAATGCCAACCGCGGTAGAGAGCCGCACAGCCTCGGGTTCGTAATATTCAGCTTGGTCATCGTCTCACTTTTGTTCCTTACACTGTTGGTGATTGTCGTCTCTAACCTCCGCATAATGCAGATCGCCGTCAGGCAGGCAAGAGCCATATCGAATCAAACAATCAACGATCAAAATAACTGCGTCGCACCGGCAGCGGTGGAGCGGAGGCTCAAAGCGGTCAAGACTACCGGCATCATAGTCGGTGTTCTTGTGTTTTTTTGGTCTCCATATATCGTGTTCTTCACTCTTCATTTAACGCCGTTAGCGGACAAAGCATCAATGGTCTATCTAAATCTTTGTTTCCTGGTAGCACTAGCTATTTCTGCCGCACTCAATCCTTTCATATATCATCATAGCTCGAAATATTTCGAGCTGCGTCAAACAAATTCATATGCTAAGATGTATTGCTTTCATATATCATCGTAGAGACAGAGAGTTTCGTAACAGTTTCATCGAAATATTTCGAGCTGCGTCAAATAAGTTCAAGTGCTAAGATGTGTTCCCTTCATATATCATCGCAGAGACAGAGAGTTTTGTAACAGTTTTATCAAAATATTTCAAGCTACATGTACGTCAAACAAGTTCAAGTGCTAAGATGTATTGCTTTCATATATCATCGTAGAGACAGAGAGTTTCGTAACAGTTTCCTCGAAATATTTCGAGCTGCGCCAATCAAGTTCAAGTGCTAAGATGTGTTCCCTTCATAAATCATCGCAGAGACAGAGAGTTTTGTGACGGTTCCCCGAAATATTTCGAGCTGCATACATTAAGTTCAAGAGCTAAGATTTATTCCCTTCATAATTGTCATCACATAGACAGAGTTTCGCAGCGCTCAACTCGAAGTATTTCGAGCTGCGTCTAACAGGATCAAGCGCAAAGATCTTGTGTAGGCTCAATCTGTGAGAACTACTGCTGCAATAACTACATTTTAAACATCTTAAAAGATGCAGATTCACACTTCTGATTTTTTTTTTTTTTTAAGAATTGCTCATTGAATATTTTCGGAACCATGTATTTAAGTTTAAGACATTGATAGAATTTTGAAATATGTTGATGTTATGAACTAAGCTTATTGTTTTTATCTACTGGTCGTGTAGCTGCGAAGTAAACCTGCTCGGAATTACTGTTCTTATACAGCGATACTTTCAGTGTATCAATGCAATATATACCGCGGTAAACACATTGGTTAATTAGCACCATCGCAAAGAATTTCAAAATCAAGCTTAGGCAAATTTAATAGCTTGTGCGTCACCTATTGAAATATCTAAACGTGATTTCAATCCCTTAGGCAATTTAAAATTGTCCTTAATTGACTTTTAAAGCATGCACGCTACATGTTCCTCCTGCCATCCTATTTTCGTAGAAAGCGCGGTTGTATTAGATGTGGCGATCTAAACAACTACTATCCTCCTGATTTAGGTTCTAAACAATGATAAGAATATTAACAACTGGAAGTTTAGTGCATTTAACTGTTGTCATAATAAAAGCGGAATCGGCTTCAAATCGTAAACAGTCGCAGTTTTGGTCTGACGTCATTACGATTATGAGGCGATTTAGCTTTCCCCCTCCAAGGAAGCATAAAACCCCTTGAAACTGAGATTTTGTTAATCATATGACTTTCCAGATCCTCGGTCATTAAAATGACTCGGTGACATTGTTGAAGGTTGATGAAAAAATTGCTTAATTTGTGTACGAAATGTTATTTAGTATATCCTTCTACTGTTCTCACCCTCTGACATGCAAAAAATCCTGAACAAATTCTCAAACCACAAAGATATCTATGGTTTTCTTTGAAGGCGTCACTGTGCAACACCCTCTAACAGTGATTAAAAGTAAATTCTCCAAACCATTTTTGAGTTTTCCCAACCGTTTTTCCATGAAAAAAGGACATGACACAGGCTATTAAAAAAATGCCTGGAATGGTATGTAGAGCCAATTTATTACTTTGTGACGATTTAAATTCACCTAAAATTTTATTAAATTTTAATAATATAGTTGGGATAATTCAGGAATCGATAGGATCAGTTTTTCCCAATTTTTATCATTAAAAATGATCCGTTTTCACTCAAATTTTCAGATAATTGTATATTCAGCATTGAAGTCACTACCTTAGCACCACTATCTCTCATCTGAACAATGTTAGCAAGTCCCTTTAAGATTCCAAAGGTTTGAATGCTTATATAAAAGTCTTTCAAAATCGGTTCGTAGTCAGCTCATGGAGTGTGAGCCGCGCTTAAAATGCCTCTGAGATCATGTTCGTTATTGCATTTACAATTTTACAAAAGCCAGAAATTAAAACCAATAAAACTTTGATATTTTCAAATGGTACGACACTGGGAGCTACATGTGTATAAAGGCTAATTATTTCGAAACTACTTTGAAAGGCGCAGCAAAAACGTTAGGTCATAATGTAAAGCAACAATGTGCTGTGCATACTACAAATAAAATCGGAATGTTATAATTACCATGATAGAGATTTTTTGTAATGAAACATAAAACACTGAAAAAAAATATCTTTAGTAGGTCACGAGGTTTTATTATTTTTCTGTAGGTACATGCAGTAAAGAATGGGTTCTTTGACATTTAGATTAAGATTCATAGTTCATTTGGCATTTCACAATGATGATTATGGGTCAAGTGTCAACAGTTAATATAAAAATTCAAGCTTCAGTCATAATGACGTGACCAACAAGAGACTGATTAATATACCGTCAAACCTGCTTTATTGACCACCTGTCTACAAAGACCACCTGTCTACAAAGACCACCTGTCTACAAAGGCCATATTTGTTATGTTTCCTTTGGGTGGTCGCTATAGACAGGTTTGACTGTACGTTGAATTACATTACCACAATGGCAAGGAAGCAATCAGTTTGGGGTCGGAGTGGCGGTGTGACTGGGGTACATTATGCAGAAGTGTCGTGGTCGAGTGGATATGTCACCGGTCTGTGGATTACAAGGTCCGCGGTTCTAGTCCCGCCGCGGCACTAATGTCCTTTTACCTTCTACATTTGCCAATTTCCACCCAGGTGTTAAATGGGTACCCGGCAGGATACGAAAGCTAATGTTGTTTGATTAGCAAGTGGCGTTTGTAAAATGGCGACTGGCTGTAATGCTCCCCAGGGAGTGGAGAATGTGCATACATTGTGTGCGGATAATCATGAATCCGATGACCGGGGTAATGATATATATCTGCGCTATATAAGGACGAACTATTATTATTATTATTTTGTCACATTAAAATGACAGCTTAATTCATTTTCTTAATCCAGCGCAAAGGAACGTGTTTGTGTACAATAATCATTGAAATTATATAGTCCAAGCATAAAGTGACCACAAAATGTTTTACAGAATCAAAGGCTACAGAAAACCAAAAATTCTAAATAAAATAGCTTTAATTGACCTTTAAATGTGCAATTACAGTACTTACATGCTCTTCGAACCCCGGAGGAGTTATGACTGTCCAATATTTGCTCATTACCTATAAAAAATCACAGATACAAGCACCGGATTGCGGGGGATGATTATATTTATGTTACATGTCATTTTATCCTAGATATCCATTTGACACATTACTTTGTTCATTGCTACAGTAATCAAACAGGTTGACTGCCACTGACATAAAATCTTATTCAGATCAGATTGCTCATGTATCGTTTCTACTTATCATCTTGATGAATTGTGTAGGGTAGGTATAGGGAATTGGAGACCGCAGGGAATTGGAAATCACCAAGCTTGAACCTATCACTGTCTGTCTGTATTAGCTCCAATATTGCTATAGCGCCATTTGTGGCTTTAACAACACTACTGCATATATCCAATTCATTTTGAAGACTACAATGTGCTCTTTCTCCGAGAAAATTGGCAAAATTGACCAAGGTAACCAATTTAGATCGTAACATTTTGCTCTGATATAAAAACACAATTTTCATTGAATGTTGTGGTGTATGCAGATATTTAGGGGTGGCTCAGAGAGAAAGGAAGAGAGAGAGAGAGAGAGAGAGAGAGAGAGAGAGAGAGCAGGGAATGGAATGATCATAATTGAATAAACATATTATTCCTAATTACATGTAATACATTGATGAAAATTAAGAGAGTCAGATTTCGGCGAGACAACAATAATCATCATACAAGTACGTGCTAGAAGAGAAAAAAGGGAAGGTCAAAAGAAAAAAAGAAGGAGAGAAGTTTGAAGAGAGAGAAAGAGGGAGAGAGAGAGATGGGGTCGTTTGTTGTGAATGTCGAGTATGCCGAGGACAGTCAATGACCCGATGCTTGTTGGTTAATTGTCCATATATAGAAATGTTTTGGGTCACATTGTTATAAAATCGTTTCAAAAGTAAAGTAAGTTCATTGGCTGCATATATCTCTTTCAAAAGGTGTTTGAACTAACTATAACAATCCCATTTTCATTCAAATTGTATTTTAAATGTCTTGATTTGTTACTGTCCTTTATTACCTTCACATGTAGGTAATGAGAGACCTCTGGTGATGAAGTCATTAATCATTGTTATCTTATTAATCAGTTACATCATGACCACAATTTTGTTAACAAATAAAGAGAAAAAGTTACTGAAGAGAATACAAAACTTTCTGTATGTGTAACATTTTTCCTGTTTATGTAAATTATGCAAATGTGCTTACTTTATCAGCCGTTGTCAATCCACTGCAGGATGAAGGCCTCAGCATGATGTTTCCAAATGCCTCTGTTCAGCGCCTGTTGGTGCCAATTTGTCTGTCCCCAGAACTGTTGCAGCTCGTCTCGCCATCTTTTTCTTTGACGTCCCCTGTTTCGTTTTCCCTCGTATGGTGTCCAATGAGTGATTGCTGAGCTCCAGTGATTGTCTTTCCTGCGGCTGATGTGGCCTGCCCAATTCCATTTCCTTCTTTTCACTGTTTTAAGGATGTCCTGGACTTTTGTTTGTTCCCTGATCCATTTGTTTGTTTTTCTGTCTTTGTATGTGATGCTTAGAATACTTCTTTCCATGTTGTGTTGCGAGGCTGCTAGCTTTCTTTCCATTTTTGAAGTTAGCGTCCATGTTTCTGCAGCGTATGAGATTGCTGGGATGATGCACTGGTTATATACCTTCTTTTTCAGGCATAATGGAAGTTTGCCTTTCATGATGGTGCTGTATCTGCCAAAGGCTCGCCATCCAGCTTTGATTCTTCTTCTTATTTCGTTGTCTTGATTTTTGTCTTGGAGGGAGAAACGTTGTCCTAGGTAAATATACTCCTCTACTTGCTCCATTTTGGTACCATTCACTTGGATTTGTTTTGGATCTTTGGCTGATCCTGCCATGACTTTAGTCTTCTTCATGTTCATTTTGAGGCCTGAAAGTCGGCTTGCATCGTCCAGTTCTTGTAGCATTATTTCAAGGTCGTTTAAGTTGTGAGATATGATGACAATATCGTCTGCAAATCTTAAGT